TATAAAAGGCACGACTGTCAGACTCAAGCTGGTTTATCGATATGGCTTATCATTTGCTAAATGTTCTGAACCGTGACAGAATAACAAGTAAGAAGGAACATGAAAGATGGCATAGAAAAAATACAATATTTATTTATTTTGGTTCAAATGCTTCAAGACCATGTGCAAACCATAAATCAGCTGACAACTGAAGATGCAGTTTTAGCAAACAAAAATCCAGAAAGCTTAAACAAACAGAAATGACACTCGGTGCTTTATCAGAGTACAAAACTCTTTATTTCCCAGATTTGGCCAGTTGCAACATGTTAGTGCCCAGAGTCCAGCCAAGCAGTGGAGTAAAGGAGAAGACCCTCAGTGCAAAGAAGAGGAGAAAGCAGGAAGAGGTCCGAGTAGAGAAGACTGTCATCCTTCATGCGATCTTGAAGAGGGACTACTGCTTCCAGTAGGTGGACAACAGAACCGATGAAGAACATTAGCATCCCTGTCAAAGAGGGGAAATCACAAACAATGCAATATCATGGAAGCAAAGCAACTATATCATGGCAAACATACTTCAGGGAATGAATTAGCTATGACAGTCTGAACTCAAAAGATTGCAAGTTATCAAAACTTCCTGCCACAACCCTTGATTAACAGCAAAATAAAGAACAAAAATGGACTAAACTTCAAATTTTAGTCAGGGTTCTTGTAAATTAGATCTTTGGTACAGGCGTTTAATGAAACACTGTGAAATCTTACGACTGTAAAAGAAATTTGATTTAGAGTGAAGTTTTTTTTAAGAGTTGTGGCTTACAAAAACGAGTTCATGGCTAGAAAACAGTCATGACTTTAGATTATTTTATTGTTTATTCATATGGATAATGCTTTGAACCATGATAGATGCAGAAGCAACACAGATATATCAAAACATAGCAATTAACCAATAAGAAAGAGGACACTGTCAGCAGTTCCTTACATGAAGAATCCCTTTTGTAAGCAGCTGTAATTCCAGCAGCATGAGAACAATTGAGAAATACACATTCTGGAACTGCAAATCCACTGAACTTTATTATTCTGCAGCATGTGAGCCCAATCATATGTATATGCTATATTGAAGGACAATCAACAGATTATAAATAATAAAATGTGTCCCCCCTGTCTCATCTTGAAAAATCCCAAGCCTAGAGCACAGAATGAGTATCACACTAGAGATGGCAAAATGGGAGTGTGCCCCCTCAATGACTTTGCCTTGAAGCCCTTAGTGATATCAAATAGAGCTATCCGGGATATCCTCAGCTTTTTTGAAGAAGAGGTACCCCAGAAGCCCAGCATAAATAAAAAAGGGAAAATCCCCAAAACTATTTGGTCTCTATTTCATTTGAACATTTTCTATGTTGCAATTTAGTACTGAGCAAAACAATTCTTAAAACTATAGAGATTATATCAGGCACAGTAGGTGCTCAGATGGATGATGTGCGTAGTGTAAGTTAAGATATTATAAAAATGCACCGTTAAACAAGCATGACATCTTTGCATCCTGTAGTGCTTTAGTATCCTGGCCAGTTAAAAATGCATCGCAAGCTTAAAAGCATTTCCTGGCAGATGCCAGAAGCCAGCTGAGTTAGCATGGAAAATAACTGCGCTGAAAACACAAAGCAGTTGGATGGCTTCTTGCCATAAGGATCAATTTCACGGACATACGAAATATAGACTTTTGGAACACTGTTCAAATCAGAGGAAAGAGAAAATTGGCCATGTACTGTAAGTCTGATTCGGTTTACTAGAGATGTAATGGACTAACCTAATTTGTCAGAAAATGTTCCTAACAACCTACTACAGGTGCTAAGAAGTTAAAAAGGTCCAACAGGTGTTAATACTGAAGCAGCTGAAGTGCAATACATACATGTATGGATGCAATATTAACATAAGTTTATTTTTCATGATTTCAGTGTTAAGACAACTAAGAATGTTAATATACAGGTGTACAGTACATAATACCTAGTTATTTTAATTGATACAATATGACATTATCATTACTGTAGGTAATCTAAATAAAAATCCAGATTCCCCTCTTGTTACTAAATGATAAATTCCTCAGGTTAGAGAAGCAAAAGCTTGTGTGAGACTATTAAACTCCCTGAGGTTGTTCAGTATAATCCTTGTCTACACTGTAATATCCACAGTGCCAGGAAAATGCCTCACTGGAGGCTACTTCACCCTGCAACATGGTTTTTTTTCCCACTTGTCAGCTAAAAGATCAACATTTTGAAAGTATGAAAGGGAGCAAGCTGCTATCATTTATCAAACCCGTGGAGCGCCACTTATTCTGTGCCAAGACGCAGCAGATTTGACTCCTCATTTGCAGATACATTAGAAAAAAAGTGAAATGAATGAAATTCTTAATCACAGTTCCACTGCTGTTTAATGCTGCAATGTACCAATCCTTTTAATAGAGACGCTATGGATGAAAGGTAAGATTGCGTCCTTTTTTCCCTGCCCATATTTGTGTCAGAGCTTTAGAAAACAGCGATTGATATTAATTTGTTTGATTGAGTCCATCAGTACAGTCTTTTTCAGCCCAAAGAGTTTTATGTATAGGGGAAGACCCACTTCATCCACCACCTGGGATGATGCACTGCAGTCCGTGCCAGGAGTTCCAGTACACCGCAGGTCAGGGGCGGAGCGGTGGCTCTGTGGCTCAGGATCTGCGCCTGTGACTGGAAGGTTGCCGGTTCAAATCCTGCGGCCGGCAGAGGAATCCTACTCCGTTAGGCCCCTGAGCGAGGCCCTTAACCCCAACTGCTCCAGGGGCGCCGTACAATGGCTGACCCTGCGCTCTGACCCCAAGCTTCTCTCCCTGTCTCTGTGTCTGTGTCTCCATGGAGAAAAGCTGGGGTATGTGAAAAGACGCATTCCTAATGCAAGAAATTGTATAGGGCTAATAAAGAAACATTACATTACATTAGGTAGAAATGTCAGATTGTGCAAACCCAGTGTAGAGGGAGGAAAAAAAAATATGTTTTTTCCCCCCCTAATGACGACCTTTCATTACAGGATAAACCCGGGTCTAGCAAGCTATGGTCCTTTGAACTTGTCACAGCCACAGTTCCTGTAACAGTGGTGAGCACATTCCAGCGTTTGCTATCCGCAGTTCAAGCAATCCTGCTGTGTCTGGATGGCTCTTCCGTTTTATATGCAGATATTGTTCAGCCAAGCCTGGCAGCAGCAGCTTTGATCTCTGGCACAGCAGCTTTTTTTTTTTTTTTCATCTGCCAGAGCATGCGGCACAGCTATTATGAAAGGGACTTTATAATTAAATCAATTATATACGATCAGCAATGGCAGGGGAATGAAAACAAGGCTTGTGCTGCTTATGAGGTATTTGCATACTTTGTGACAACAGCTCTGCAAGGTGATATTATTCCAAGTACTCCCCATTCCTACATATATTGCTAATTAACTGAGGCCATAATGGTTTTCTAAATTTAGACAGCTTCTTTAGGTGGAATTGGTTGTTTATGTTTAGACATGTTTTTTTTTCTTTAAAAAGTGGTGTTCATCTTGTGTTCATCTGTATTACTTGTGTTTACTGACTGATAAATTAATATGATGCACTGTCAGAAAAAAAGCAAATTGAAATTCTTCATTTTGTGGTATGTAAAAGCGAATTTATTCAAATGAAAAAAGGCATTTTGCAAATGCTACAGTACATGTTCTGAACTGTTTGTATAAACTTCAAGAAGGTGGATTCTTCATGAATTAATTAATGAAGCACGTGTCTAATACTCAGAAGCTTGTGTCTTTTTCACAAAGTAGCAAAGTAAAACAGGTTTAAAAGCTAGTGGTTAGCCAGGAATCAGTGAAAGATTGCAACCCAAAAATGATATATGTTACAGCTTTATAAATATGTACTGTATTAGAATCCGGATAACAAGCAGACCTTAGAAAGGTTAGAGGCAATGTCCAGGGAGGATGCTGAGTCTTCAACAAAAGAGCCTCATAGCCTCAGCCACACACTTCTTACCACTGAGATTAGAGGAAATACACTCTGGGGGATGAAACCTCTTGTTGTCCTCACTGTTTCTAAACAGTTGCTTTGTTTATCATGCTGGTTATCAGGGAGGAAATAGAGGAAATAAGGCTTCTTAAGAAAGTGAAAGTACAGTGTTTCATACTAGCCTTTATCTGCTGAAAATGCTTTGCCATTTCTAAGCACCACACTGCTGAAAGGTAATTGGTACAAGGGAGCACATTTTCACCTGGGAATAGAACTCGTGCTTGATAATTACACTGACTGAATCTTGACAGCTCAGATAACAACTAGACCCATTCCCTAGCTGTTTCAGTTCATTTCACAAATGGCTTTTGTAAAATGTACTGCTTTTTAAAAGAAATTGACTACGATATGAAAACAAACTATTCTTAGATCATGCTAATTACATCTAATATAATTTCTTTATATTCATATACTGGATTTTTTGGCATGTGCTGGAATTACAATACATAACGTACAGTGCACTACATGTACATCAAAGCACATGAATTTATTACATATTAATCATGCATCAAATTAACAGATACAGTTACAAGTGTGACGCGAATTACAGATAAATGAGTTTTATGTACACTGAAAAAAAAAACAGCACCATTAACAAGTCCAGACCTGGATTGATTTCACACTACTGTGGTGAAAATAGAGGTTCAAATGCAATGCTGCTTGTGTTACTTCAAGCACTGTTTTATATACTTGTTGCCATAAAGACTAAAAAATAAAACGAAAAGATCCCCAGAGCATTTGAAAATGCTTAATCTCTTGTCATCTCTTAACTGTATTCACAGATCTTTTACAGAGATTCAGATAGGATATTTCAGGCCAATTAAAACCCCACTATTAAGTCAGAGTGCAGGTCCCAGTCAGGCAACGCAAGCAAAACATTTCTTGAAACTCTCTTTTGAATGACAATGATGTTCATCTGATCTTTCTAAACACAGGTAAGTGGGTGGACTAAGACTCCGCTTACCTGCAACCTGAAAGTGTAGCAGGGACTGTTAGCTGCGTATTGAACAATGGAGCTGGACAGCAATACTGGTGCAAAGTATTAATAGACCTACAACACAAGGAGAAACACACAGTCAAAAACCCAGAGCCAACTGAGGGTATTTCTCCTGTTTTATTTTGGAAAAATATTATTTGCCATACCACGAAGAAAAAAAATCCTTTTGCCTTTTCAGTACTGTGAGATTGTTCTTTAATTTTAGGGACTTGCATAATCGTTAGTGCAAGAGGTGAAACAATTTCTTTGCATTTTGTTTCTTTTTTCTGACCGGAGGTACGGTATTATCTGAGTGATGCAGTGAGGGTCAAAAGTTAAATCCACCCTAAGCAAACACTGTCACTTTCTGAAGATAAATAACTCTGCACCAGTCAGCTGCTTTGGATGACTCATACAGTCTATCTTCCCAATACTAAAACCAGGGTAGCACATAGAAGGAGAAGATAAAAATACAAAAACATCTTCAAAATGTATTGTACTCTTACAGTAACAGATCATTCAATACATTTTAAATTGCATGACCTGTTATTTAAAATAATGTTCAAAGCTGTTTTACAAGACATCTGTGAATACTTTCTCTCATGATATATTCTACCCCAAACACTTCAAAATTCAAAATTCAAGAAAGAAAAGCATTACATTTTTGAAGTGTGAGTAAATATTTTATTGATCTGTTCAATACAATCCTAAAAGGATAGAGGATGCATGAAAGCAATTACTTGATAGAAACAGATTCATATTTTGTATTTATTAGAAAATGAATAATGCATGACAAAGGGCAAGTCCAAGAACATTTTCTCTTGCACCATTAGACTTGTAAAGAACAGAAGTACAGATCAGCAGATGAGATCTGACGAGTCTACTGTACATCTTTTATGTAATATTGAATTTTTAAGGTGATGATCTTTTCTGGGATTAGCTTCAGGCAACCACAGCTTAGTTCAAAATGAATCCATCCTTTCACCTTTACATGAGCAGAGGAATACCAGATTTATTTACAGTAAGAGCTTGCATGTTGCAAGTCACATTTTGACACTGTATTAACAAAGTATTCCTTTAAAAATCTTACAGTGCATTTTATGAGAGTTAAAAATAATTTTGACACAGATTAATTAAAACATACTGGGTGCAAGTGTGAGATGTTACTCACTGATGCGTTCTGCATGCTCACCACACTGTTAATAATAATGTTGCTGTTTAAATGCAGAACTCCATTATTAAATTTTATAATTTTATAATAAAATAATTTAATGGTGCAAGTTGTGTAACCAGTAATGACTGCAATATAAGCTTTTCTGCAGTTGCTTTCTGATTTTTTTAACCTTGTATAAATGAAATATTGTTACATACTACCATAGTACTGTTAGTCTGTGGTAATAAAGACATTTAGCACTTTTGTTTGCATGTTTATGATTGCCTAATCAAATGACTGTTCTCATCAATGAGTGCAGAATAAAATGTTCATGTTACTGGTAGGTTGATGGAAGAAAAGTTTACTTTGATACAGGGAGTACATTTTCACTCTAATCAGCAGTGTAGAGTAGTGGCCAGGGCTCAAGACTCGAAGACTGTAAGTTCAAATTGAGGTTGAGATACTGTTTTCGTACCCTTGAGTATGGTATTTTACTCAGATTACACTTGTAAAATGCCCCTCTGTTTAATTCATTATAGCAAATAATTGCATTACATTACAAGATCCCATATTGCTTCAAATATAAAATGGGAAACACTTCATTTACTACAGGACCTTGGCTTACTGTCTCCAAAGGAAATCACCTCTTTCTTCACAGTGTCCACGGTCAACCACACTTAGGCATTCGTATTAAATTTCTGGTATAGAAAGAAAAACACCACCCACTGGTCCAACAACACCAAATATATCAGCAAGATGGTTTGCTTTGGTTGTCTCCTAACCAAAAGTCTATCCATGCTTCAGAATGTGTTTTTGTTTCCAATTGAATTGGCATGTTAAATACTGATAAATAAAGGCTTACATAATGCATAGTCATACATGAAGCTAGACAGTATTGAATTGAGTAAATATCAATTATCTCAGAGGGTACCTTTTCATATTATGACAGTTAGAACAGTTAATAATATATTTAATAGTAAACAGGGAGCTAACAGTCTTTGACCTTGACAATGTTTTTTTTTTCTCTACAGTATGTAATTTGAGTGCACACTCATTCATTAATCATTCCACATGCAAGCAAAATAACCCATTGCAACAGGACTGAGTGCAAACAACAGGGCTATTTGAATTTTTGTATTACTTCTGCTTCGTTCAAGGTGTTTCTATCAGGTAAAACCCACAAGAGGTAAATATATATTCTGAAATATGAGAATAGAGAAATGTCAGGAATAGAAAAACTAGTAAAACTGGACCTTTACAGATTTTCAGATTTTATGTACAGTAACTTGGAACCTTGGATTTTCATAAAATAAACAAAACACAGCTAGCTTCAGGATTCATATATCGAACTTGTCAAAAAGGACCATCTTTCAAGCCATTTAAAGATTAATGGCAATACCAAATATTTTCTCATAAACAGAAGGGGGTAATTGCTAAAATGGGCATTGGGGTAATCATTAGACTATTTCTCCTGGCCACTACTATACATTAAAGAGTTAAATAATTATTGTATATAATTCTACACAAATCTCAATCATTCTGAAATGCTCAGGGTTCCATTGCGGAACTTCTATTGCTGCTCTCTTTCAATTGTGACCTTAAGGTCCTATGACCACTCTCTTAAACCATCACACTCACAATATTTCCAGATGATCTTACAGTAACATACAGAATTTCTGTTACCAGTATGAGTTGAAAAATAAAAAACAAAACACACCAACAGCTTAAATAGCTCATAAACTAAAACAAATTGTTATTGCAGGAAATGGAAAAAAACAGTGTTTTCAAAGGAAGATGTCTTATCAGGAGTGTCTCCCAGCCATGTTCACTACGAAGATTTTTAATGATGCAAAAGGTTAATTTCAAAGAGCTTACCATGTTACATAATCATCTTGTTCTGTTTGAAGAAAAGTGTCCACATGGGTATTCGGGATCTGACATTTCTTTATAACCACAAAGCCAGTGGTATGAGATTCATATAGTTTTTCCTTTTATTTTGAATAGAAATTGCCAACTATTCACAACCTACCATAGTGATGCTGGAGAAAGGCACCAAAATTCTGTTTCGAAAAAAAACAGAAATGATTTTTTTCTGAAATGCAAGCATCTGATTTTTAATTCATATACAAAATACTTTATGAAAGCTTGCTTTTCATCATTGCTGTGACTGCATTTTAATAAGCAATAAATGCAATTCTATTAAAAATTAAGTTTTTGTTAGTGAAAGCCATCTATTAAAATCTAGAAGTTTTGTTTGTAAAGCAAAAACTGCTACAACCCACAATCTGTTTACTAATTCACAGAAAATGTGCTACACATCGATTCCTTTTTATAAAATGATATATTTCCTTACACACCTATGCATGTCTACCAAAAAACCTTCACAGGAATTTTGCACACAACAGCAGCATGAATGCCTCTTAAAAATCTGATTTCAACAGAAACAGAGGAAAAAAGACAAAAAAACATAAAAAGAATATCCAGAAAAGGTACCATTGTACAGTTATATGGATGCAATACAGTACATGCAAAATGAATGGCTTTTTTGCAGCTTGCAGGAAGACTCATCTAGCATCAGTATCGTCTGTATAAGCAGTAGCGGTGTTTGGATGAGAGACTATAGTACTGTTTATAGCCCATACACATGGTCAAATAAAATGGGCTGATGTTGTTTCCATAAATACCTCTGTGCTTCTGTGATGTCATCAACATTATGCAAATGTTGCCAACCTTTAACTCTAGTGGCAATTGTATAGGCGTTATGCTGTCAGGACCAATTCTGATATTACAAACTTAATCCAAAAGCATGGAAAGCACTTCAAACGCAGTGATAACCCATATAAACCTGGGGGAATTGTTGAGATATTGATTTCAGCAGTAATCTCTGATATACAAGACATACATTTTTACAGGGCTACTTGCTCTTTTTTCTAAAGCCAAGACTGTGTCCTTCCTCTACCACAATCCCTGTCTGTTTTTTTTCTGAGACAACATCTAATCATAATGCTCAACATGTTTATGTTTTTAGACAACAATTTTGAAATTAATTTATTTTTAGAACACGCGCAGAACTACTTCAGCTGAGTAAATGGGATACGCATCATGCTTGTTCGCAAAAAAAATGCCCTGCAAGTCACAAAAACTTCAAAGAGCTTATCCAAGAAATGCACATCACTGCAGAATTAAGCGAGTGTGTCCTTAAGTCACAGAGGCTGCAGAAACATACTAGCATTACAAAACAGGAAAAATGACCCCTGTACCCCCAAACACCCAAAACAGACTTTCCTTTGCTTGACCTGCAACAAAATCAGCATAGCCCCAATGTCCTTCCCCTCCAACCTCGCGTCAGGCTATAAGATTCAAACAGGTACTCACAAATGATACCGTCTGCAAGCCATTGTAAATCTGGGGTTGTGTTTGGTCTGTGATTCTGAGGTCGCACAGAATTGAGAAGCGCAATATCACATTCACAGGCTTCTCATGTTCATTCAAGCTTGTTCACAATAGGACAACATGCCCTGATGAGTCTGTGATGTAACCAGCATCACACATTGCATCAGCAGCACCCAAGCAAGCAGGGGTTGTGTATCATAACACACAGACTTGAGTGTCTACGTTCAGCATGATAACACGACACCTCATTTCGAAATGCTGTACTGAAATCACTGCATTGCAAATTGCTGTCACAAGATATACATTTCCCCTTACTATTCTGAAGTACCTAACTTCCATGTTTGTGTGGTTTATTGATATGTGCAGAGGATTATCTTTGATCTCTGTTTGCTACCTCTTTTCTGGTTGCTGTAGTACAGTCCACGGCAATGAAAGATGATTGGTCCAGAGGTCTCCATGGAAACAGCAGGATGTGTTTCCCATTCTCTTTACTCTGTGATGAAATCAATGTATTGCTCCCTTCCACATT